GAGAGGCAATGTGTGCAAAATATTGGGGGAAGAGTTGATCCAAGGTTTTTCTTATAATTTCCAAGGTCTTGTTTTCCTGACCTCGATACCATGAAACCGACGTTATATCAGAGGACTTGACAATATGCGTGTAACTCTTCTATTTAATTGCTACTTTCAAAATGACTTTTGCCTACTATTAACATGTCCATATTGATTTTTGCTCAGCTCCACTCAGACAAAAAGCAGATCAGTGTTGGTTTCATTGGTTACCCCAATGTTGGAAAGAGCTCTGTTATCAATACCCTGCGCTCCAAAAAAGTCTGTAACGTGGCACCCCTTGCTGGTGAGACTAAGGTAAGACCTCAGAAGCTTTTTTGTTTTCATCTTGGGATGTGATTTTTTTTCCTTTTTTATATATATTCATATGGATTTATGTATTTTCCTACCCGAAAAGTCTGACCCACCTGCATTGTGTAAATCTGAAGAAATAAATTGTGTTTTCAAATACTTTTAAGATACTTTGTTCTTTTACCATGCGAGCAGCACATGATCCATATGATTTGAGTGGCTTGATTGGTTTGCTGTAAATGCTGCTCCACACAAACTCATCTCTGCATGTGCTGCGAGTTTCGGTCGATTATAACGTGCATTTGAAAATGCAATGCGCCAACCATCTTGTTAAATTTGTAATGATAATCGTTTAGAAGTTAGAGGGATAGTTCACCCAAAAATGAAAATTATGTCATTTACTCACCCCCAAGTTGTTCCAAACCAAATGAAGATATTTTGGGTTTTAGGTTTAGAACAACTTGGGGGAATTTTCATTGTTTTATCTATATATATATATATATATATAAAATTTGTTATTGTTAATAATAATAACGTGTCAAAAGGAGAAGTTTAGCACAATGTTAAAGCTGTTTTTTTCCATGCTATGAATAAAGAGGAAAGGCTGCCAACCAGCCAATAACACATGCATTTCAAGTCGCCTTCTATTTAAGATTTTTCATTTTTGGTGAGCTGTTCCTATAACATCCACTTGTAGTTGTTACGTACTGATCGTAAACATAAGACGATTGAGCGACTCTTCTTTTAAGGGTCATTAAATGATCCTGAATTTGTTTTGTAGTCCACTAGCGAGTGTAAGACTACCTGCCAGCTCCTGACATGTTAGCATTTTGGATGGCTTAAGTTTCCAGCAGTTTGGTTTTGGCTGCTACTTTTGTGTATTCATGTTTTTGTGTGAAATTACTTTTTTATGTTGTCAAATTTTTCCTCTCATTTTACAAACATGGTACTGAGAGCGAGTGAAAAAGTCGAAGGCGAAGGAAAAACACATTACTGACAGAGGCCAGATTGAAATCAAATTCTAAACAAATCTGGACTTCTACGCTCTTCTGTTTATGTTTTAAATGATAAATTGTATAATTTAAAATCTCCCTTGTGTACCCTGATATGGGTGATTCTTCAATTATTAGACGTTTTCTTTCCACTATTTTCTTTTCTTTTAAAAACAGAGTTTCTAGTTGGATTATGAAATAAATAGATTGATTATAATACTTTTTGTTATGCCTCTTTAACTAGTTTTTCCTAATGTTGAAATGTTACATTTGCTTCAATCACTGTTTAGGCCTGTTTAGTTTCATTTTTATTAACTCAAAAGTTAATTGACTGCTTGCTAACCTGAGACAAATTATTATAAATCACATTTGTTTCAATGCAGTTCATTATATTGAAATGTTTTCGGTCTTGTGGTTTCTTAAATGGAGAAAATGAATGAATCTATGGACTGGTTCAAGCTTAAGCTTTATGCCACAACCAACTGTTTTGTTTCTGTCTGACAGGTCTGGCAGTATATCACACTAATGAGACGCCTTTTCCTCATCGACTGTCCTGGCGTCGTCTACCCCTCCGACGACAGCGAGACTGACATTGTGCTGAAGGGAGTGGTACGATGGCCTGGACTCTCAAAGTCAACCGTTCAGATTTTGCAATCCCAGCGGCCACTTCATCCACTTATTTTATATCTGTTGCTTTTAGGTCCAAGTGGAGAAGATCCGAACTCCAGAGGATCACATCGGAGCGGTGCTGGAGAGGGCCAAAGCGGAGTACATCCAGAAGACATACCGCATTCCATCCTGGAGCTCCGCCGAGGATTTCCTGGAAAAGCTCGCCTTTCGCACCGGAAAACTGCTTAAGGTCTGGCCTGATTGTGGAGTATCTGATAAAATGAACTGTCAGCTCGGTCCTCGCGGCACATTTGTTTATTCGTTCCTCTGGAGTGTCCGATTGAGATGTGACAGTTTGCTTACTTTAAACGGGTGGAAAACATTTAAATTAAAGTTCAAATAGCCACATTTTCGATACTCTCATGCCAAAACCACTCATATTTAATTCAAAATCTGAGTTTTATAAAAGGGTTTTGGCCTACAGGTTGGTTACACGGGTTAGTTCACATCTTTGTCTTTGTCCAAACACTGTACATGTCTGTGCTGTAACGACTGGTATTTCATTTTGTGTTGTTCTTGTAATGCAGGGTGGAGAGCCAGATCTGTCTACTGTGTCTAAAATGGTTTTGAATGATTGGCAGAGGGGACGCATCCCCTTTTTTGTGAAGCCGCCTGGGGCCGAGATGGATGAAGAGGTAAATGTTCTTAATTTCCCACAAAGTTTAGATTCTTTTAGTAAAACAATAGCTCAGGCTCTATTCAAAAATGAGTTCCAAGACCAATCTTTTGTAAAATTAGAGCATTGTGTTCTAAAAAGACCTCAGAAGACATTGTTTACATGTAACTTCCTTAAATGCATATTGAATTACTTGGTACAAATCCTTTTTTAAGTCACTGTGGCCAACAAAATTACTTGAATTTTGCCAGTCTTTATACTGGCAGACCCTAATGCACTTTTAAACATTTATAGTCTTAAACTGACACTTGATCTTTCCAATCAGTACAAAGCAAAACTGATGCTGGAAATGGCTGCGATGGAAACCGAGAAGGAAGAGTTGGAAAACAGACTTGAAGCTCAGGATGTGGAGGGGGCCTCATCTAGCCACCAGGAAGATCAAAAGCTGCTGAGACAGAAACAAGAGGAGATGCAGAAAATCTTCAGTAATGTCAAGCAGAACTTTGGCAAATTAAACGTCGCTCCGGAGTTCAGCGAGGAGGACCTTGTGCCTGTCGAGATCCCTGACATCCTGGAACCCTTGGGTTCAGAAGATGAGCAAGATGAGGAAAATGACGAGGATGAGGAAAAAGAGCAGAGTGGAGAACTACAGGAAGAAGAGTCCTCTGTTTCCGGCCCCCCGACCACAGCAGAGAAAAAGAGCACACGTGAAGTGAATAAAGAGATGGACATGAAGATTGCCAAATTGAAACAGTTTCTTGATCGTGCCAAGTCAAAGCACTTCTCCGCCATACGGTTTGTTTAAACTCATATTGAAAAGTGAGTTCAGTGTTTAGCTCTTATGTATTGATATTCTAATGTGTTGTCTTGATGTTTTTACAGCATTCCTAAAGGCCTTTCTGAAAAGGTGTTCACTGAAGCCACAGCAAAGCAGAATTCTGCAAAGAATCTGCAACGGAAAGGTACACCCACCCAACTAACCCAAGTTGATGCCAAATGCTTGTGTATTAAAAAAGATATGGCTGCTAGAACTGCATATTTAATGTACATCTATATATTTTTTTTTATAAATTTATATTTTTATAGAATTTTTGGAGTAAGATTTTTTTTTTTTTTTTTAATCTTTTCAATTAAATTTAAGAATTATCTTATGCTCACCATGGCTGTCTTTATTTAATCAAAATACAGTAATACTTAATACAGTAGAAAAAGTAATATTGTGTAAATTCTACATTTACTTATTTCTACTACATTTCTTCTTATTATTATTATTGACATTGAAAACCGTTTTTGTGGAAACCGTGATAGATTTTTAAGGATTCTTTGGTAAATAAAAAGTTAAAAATAACAGCATTTATTTCAAATAGATATCTTTTTAACATTATAAATGTTTTACCAAAATACAGTAATACTTAATACAGTAGAATAAGTAATATTGTGTAAATTCTACATTTACTTATTTCTACTACATTTCTTTATTATTATTATTATTGACATTGAAAACCGTTTTTGTGGAAACCGTGATAGATTTTTAAGGATTCTTTGGTAAATAAAAAGTTAAAAATAACAGCATTTATTTCAAATAGATATCTTTTTAACATTATAAATGTTTTACTGTCACTTTTGACAATTTAATGCATCGTTGCGAAATAAAAGTCTGGTGCTTTAAAGAAGTGAGTAAAAGACACTCAACCTCTTTTTGTTTTCCAGCTGTGACAGTGGGCAAAAAGAGGAAAGCTGTGGATGATGAGGAGCCTGCCCAGGCTACCAAACTCACATCTAAAGAGGTATGCACTGTTCTCCCAGCTCCACTACTGCTGTCAATCTTTCTGATTCCATAGTAAAGACATCTCAAATGAATTTGAGACCAAACTAATCTCTTTCTCTCTGTTGAACTACTTCACCCAAACAGAAAAGAAGCCTGGAGCGTGCACAGAGAGTGAAGAAAGTGGGGGTCCGCTATTATGAGACGCACAATGTCAAGAACAAGAATAAGAACCGAAAAATGCCCTTGGATGGCAAGAAATCCAAACGAGCTAAGCGATAAGACCTGGTCAGAAACCCAGTCACATCAATCCCCGTTTCCATCGTCATGTCGGTGGCTAAATTGGAACATCTGGAGTGGAATCACACTGATTTGTGTAAAGGTGAAGGTTTGGTTGATCTGTGATGCAATCGTTCCAATGCACTTTATTCATACTGTGGCTCCAGCCATCCTCATGAACACAATGACTACAATTAATTTCAGCACTGTGCATTTTCAAAGTTTTTAACTTAAGACAGTGTGTCCTGATTCAGCAGTGTTGAATGGCTGATCATGTACCCGTGTATCTATGTCTGTTCTTTTTCTTTTGTTTGGAGAAAAAAAAGAAAGAATAAATACTCAGAACAGATGCTTTTATAAATGTTTTATTCTTTGAAACTGAATAGTTTGTGTATTAATATTCTAATGATATCTAGGCTTTATTCTTCAAGGTAATTATGCCCTCCAGTTGTGCCTAAAAAATAAATGGACACTTTAGAGTCTGAAAAAGTAATGTCAGAAATCCTGATTATGATGATCTCTGCTTTACCTTGAGTTGCTGGTTGGTTCGTTTGAGGAACTGGACCTCTTCGGCATGCTTCTTTTCCTCAATTTCCCGCCGTTCTGCTTCCCGTCTCTCGATTGCTTCACATTTAGCCTTTTGCTCATTCAATAGCCTCTCCAAATCTCGCTTCTCGCTCTCCAACTCCGAAATCTACCAAGAGTTTTTATCTCAATCAGTAGAAAATGGTAATTGTCCGGTCTTGCTTTAAAGATAATGATTTTTCTTCTGCAGAACACACACACACAAAAAAAAGATATTTTGAATAATGTCTCTTGTGTTTTTTCCCCCCACAAAAGTAAAACAAATTTGATTTGTATGCCATTGACTTTCATTATATGAACAAAAAAATATATATATATATATTTGAAATATCTTCTTGTGTGTTCCGCAGAAGAAAGCAAGTTTTTGATTTAACTATCCCTTTAAGGACCTTATTCTCCATGTCAGACTTTCCCTGCTCCCCCTGAAGTGCTTTCCTCATGCCAAAGGCCACACTGCTCTCGTACAGTGTCTGATAGGCAGATATGGTCATGCGAATCTCGTCTCTTACTTGCAGCAGCAGGAGGCCCCGCTCGGCACAGTTAATGGTGACTTGTCTGATTAACTCATCTAAGAGATTGAAAGAGGGAATGTCATGTAAATCAATGTCAAGAGCTATTAACATGACACTTCATTTAGAATATATGTATTTTTACCAAAGCACTGAGAGTAGAGCTCCCTGCGGACTGGGCAGATGCCGGTCTCTCTGGCCTGCCTCTCCTGCAGGGTTTTGTCCAGCTGTTCTTGCAAATGAATAACATCCATTCGTGTGCATGGAGCACTGGACACTGGCTGCACCCATAACTGGTTATTCTCCATCCATTGCCTGCAACAGAACCATTTGTATGATTTATATAGTTCCATTCAAAAGTTTGGGGACAGTAAGATTTTTTAAAAGCTGAATTTTCAGCATCATTACTCCAGTCTTCAGTGTCACATGATCCTTCAGAAATCATTCTAATATGTTGATTTGCTTTTCAAGAAACATTTCTTCTGATTTTTATCAATGTTGAGAACAATTGTGCTGCTTAATATTTTTGAGGAAACCGTGATGCATTTATTTCTGGATTCTTTGATGAATAGAAAGTTCAAAAGAACAGCATTTATTTGAAATAGAAATCCTTTGAAAATTCTAAATGTCTTTACTGTCACTTCTGATCAATTGAATGTGCCCTTACTGAATAAAAGTATTATTATTATTATTTGAGCCTAACATTTTAAACGTTAGTTTGTGATGTGATTAATGGTAGGTATCAGCACCCAATTGAAGAAAACTTCTACTAATCATTGTAAAAGGTTTGTTTTACTTTGGTGGTAGAATGGCATTTAGGATCTCCTCGGTTTGCTGCTTGCTGGCATCCGCTGAGGGACTCTTGGGTTTGGGTGGAGGTGGGACCGGGCCGGTGTCAACCATCTGTTGGGGACTCACTTTCAAAGGGCGACTCTGTGTCAAATGTGAAGGAAGAGATGAAAATCAAGTGTTAGCGCTTTATTACAAAAAAAAAAAGTATACTTTACTTTAGCAGGTTTGTTTTTATTCGTATAACGTTAAAGTTACATACAATAACTTTGCTTACCTTTGGAGACTTCCTCTCTGTATTTTTGCTCACTAATACCGGATTATCATACTTCAACAAGGAATCAGACGGAGTAATCATGCTTAAAATGATAAAGTGCCCAAAAAAAAGTGCAGAAATAAAAAAAAAAGTCTGCGTTTTGTTTTAGGAAGACTTCAAATTCACTCGGTGGCGCTGTAGAAGTTTCGTTTCGTTGTTTAACAGTTACGTTGCTATAACAACCGGGCTTGTCCGTCCCATCCATGGTCCCATCAAGGGTCTTCAGTCCGCAGGAATGGTGGGAAATACATTCTTTACACACTATACTGCTAAATTTACCGATTAAATATTAATGACTTTTAAGCCTTGTAAAATAAATTACACAAATATATTGTGGTATTTTATTTTTCTAATATTTCTGTTCTAAAACATAAGACAGAACTCGCCACTTGGTGGCACTAACGTAAGTTACACGTTAAAGCAAAAAAGGCTTTTGGCGCATGTAATATTAAATATGATTTTGATTGATAAGTGAATAGGCATCCTTTTAACGTTACTCGTTATATACTTGTTTTTGGTTTATTTGGTTTTTATTACGCTTTGACACTTTTTATTAATTTATTTCCATTTTTCTTATTTTTATTTTACTATTTGCGTAATTTAACCAGTTACAATTGTAACATATTGTTTACTGTATATTATTAAAATGTTTCTTATTTCATTTCTCGATAATCTCTTTTTTTTAAAACTCGGTACATTGATGCCCTAAAGAAAGCGGACCTAATTTGCTTTCCATAGGAAAGGAGGGACATATTTCTTCAGCGTACAATCATCGGACCGGAAGTGTACATGGGAGTTTCGTAAATGTGGTTTGAATCTGTTTTCATGTTCTCCTCTTACTCTCCTTTGGTATGAACGACTCTTCCTTTTTACGAAGCTAATAGGCAAGCTTATTTCATAATGGATAACAGGAGACGACACAGAGAATCTCCTGGCCGGGTTGTAAAGACAAAAATCAAGCAAGAAAAAGTGAGTCCCGCGCGGCCTCCGCGAGCACGTCGATCCAGCTCAGGCTCCAGCCGCGGTAGCAACAGCCCTCCACCGAAACGACGAGACAGCAGGTATATAAGCAGCCTTATATCTCACATTTTGTTTATCTTAAATGACAGTTCAGCCGAGTATATTTAAAATATTGTAGTATGTGGGGAGGATCAACAGGTTATTTTATATGTAGCCAGTGGTTTCTTACAGAATGTTTCCTGAACTGTATTTGTAGATCACCAGTCAGAAGAAAGGACAGATCGCCAGCGAGAAGAGACCGTTCTTCGGGCAGACAGCAGGAGAGGTCACCTCGACCCCGGACCAGCAGAAGCCCGCATCGCAGCACTGACGTCAGGTTAAAGCGGGTGAGCTCAATACAGAAACAGATCAACTCATATGTCATGAACTGATGAGAAAACTGTCTTTGAATTGATTAAAGGCCACAGAGGGTTTTGACACTAAAACTTGTCAGGACCTCAGTGGGAAAAACTGTGATTTATAAAACATTATTTGACCCTTAATAATATAGTAGGCTATATTATTATTTTCTTTTAAAATTAATTTAAAGTACACATTATTAATATGTTAAATTGTGGATATAGTATTTTGGGATATTTAATATTTTATTATGGTTATACATTTTTTTATAGTTACATTACAGACTCAATATAGTCATATAGTAAATTATCTTCTTTAATAGAAGTTTAAAATACAAGTTACTCTATATAGCTTTAGTTCTGTAAGCTTGCTTTATAACCTTTTATAACTTTAAAAATGTTCTTTACAGACCCAATGTTATATTTCTATATTTATTTTATAATAGAGGTAATTATATATTTATTTATTTATTACACCCTGCTAAAAAGGCATACTAAGTGGAGGTTTTAAGGAGATTCTGTTCTTATTACAGGAGCAAGATGATCACAGAGGACCCGAAAGTCATCGGCCTCGTGAGAGAAGGGATGATTCAAATGACCGCAGAATGAAAAGGGACGGAGAGCGTCCACGGCAAAGAGAGCGAGACAGAGAACAGGACAGAAATAGGGCAAGAGAACGTGATGCCCACTTACAACAGCAACAGCAGGCTGAGAGGGAACGACAAAATGAACGGCGGCGAGAGAATCGCCTCAGACAGGAGGCTCAGAGTGGCAGTGGTGATGACGAGGAACAGGACTTCGGTGGTCAACAGGATAGTGATTCCGCCCCTGCAGCTGAGAAGGAAAAGCCCAACTTTGAACTATCAGGTGCCTTGGTGGAAGATACAAATACATTCAGGGGGGTGGTGATCAAGTATAATGAGCCTCCCGAGGCCCGCATACCCAAAAGAAGATGGCGTTTGTACCCCTTTAAGAACGACGAGCCGCTCCCAGTTATGTACATCCATAGACAGAGTGCGTATCTACTTGGACGACAGAGGAAGATTGCAGACATTCCCATCGACCACCCTTCTTGTTCCAAACAGCATGCTGTTTTTCAGTACAGGTCAGAACAACAAAATATATTTTGGTAACACTTTGCAATAAGTTTTCGTTTGTAAGCATTAGTTAACTACACCAATTGGCTTTATGCACAGCTTCACTACTTCCTGAACTTCAGCCAGCCCTTTGTTTCCTGTCTGTCATTATTGGACAAACTGATTACTACAGGTGTGCCTGGCCTCAGTAACAATAATCAGGCAAACCTGGATTAATCAGTTTGTCCAATAATGACAGACAGGGAACAAAGGGCTGGCTGAAGTTCAGGAAGTAGTGAAGCTCTGCATAAAGCCTATTAACATGAACTAACAATGAACGATATTTCTACAGCATTCACTCACCTAGAAATGCTATCATGGATTTTCTATTGGAGCAAATGGGAACGCAAAAATGATGTATGTTGTAGTTTCCGTTCACCACTATAGGGTTACCCATCTATGACGACTTCTGCTTCTGAGAACCCCAGAAATGTGAAAAAGGCCCATTGACTGCAAACTTGCTTTCAGATCGGCCTCCATCCAATCAACCATGATGGATGGAGCCAAGTCCCTGCCATACATGTCGCAATAATACCAAAGAAAAGATTTAAATGTTATTTTAAAAAGTATTTAAATGTTTCAAAGAGACATTCAGATTGTATTCGCTATGGTGTTTATCTCAGCACCAAATACTTAAAGACGCAATAGGCTATTTATTTGCGAACGTAAACATTTTTAGAAAATGTTCTGACTCTTTATTAATGTTCGGTTACATTATAGCTAGTTAGCAAGGTTCCATTAGTCAATTTATTTGTTAACATTAACACTAAAAATACTTCTAAATCATTTATTAATCTTAGTTAATATTAATTTGAACATTTACTAATACTGTATCAAAATCAAAAGTTGTATCTGTTTTATTATTTTTAATGGACCTGAACTAATAATGAACAGTTGTATTTTTATGAACTAACATTAACAAAGATTAACTACTGTAATAAATGTAGATATTGCTCATTGTTAGGTAATGTTAGTTAATGGAACGTTAACTAACCTATTGTTCTCTATAGTTCTTTTGCACTTTAATCTGTTTGAAACATTTGTTTAGTTGATATATTTTTGTGTATTGTTTTATTGTATTTAAATGTTCTTTTTGTTATATGAAAAAGTTGGACCTGTTAGAACGACAGTTTTTGGTAACTTAGTTTCTGATACCGTCACATGCCTTAACGTGACTAATTTATTTATTGAATTTATGTGGAAATTTCTTCCCATACTAATTGTCCTTTTCTCTTTGACTTTTATCATCTCCAGATTAGTGGAGTTCACACGGGCGGACGGCACCATGGGCAGGAGAGTGAAGCCGTACATCATCGATCTGGGTTCTGGTAATGGCACCTACCTGAACAATCAGCGTATAGAATCTCAGCGTTACTACGAGCTCAAAGAAAAGGATGTGCTGAAGTTTGGCTTCAGCAGCAGAGAGTACGTGCTCCTTCATGAGTTTTCTGACACAGCCGAGGTTGACGCAAAGAAGGAAGAAGAAGAGGATGAAGGCCTGGATGAGTAGTTCTCGGCTCAGCGTTTACCAAAGTTACCTGTTTTGTGCTGGACTCTTCGAAAGAATTTCCTCCGTAGGAACAAGGCGACCTTGTGGACAATGAAACAATCATGCTTCAGCCTGCCCAAGTTGTCTGTATGAAAATTCTCAGGTGGATAGCTTTTGTATCCCGTCAAACTGTGTACAGTGTTGTCCCTCAAAGCAAGTGCTCAAAGCCAGAACTAATTAATCTATCTTAAAAAAAAACGTATATTTTGGATACTCTTGAAGAAGTGCATATAATGTCCAGATTTGGTTACTGTAAATATACTGGATGTATTTGATGTGTGCTTGTTTAATGTGTTTTAGTTTGTAGTCTGTGATTAGAGACATACTGTGTCCTGGTAGTTATCGCCAGCAAGTTAATCATCCTCATGGTTATTCATAAATAATGAGACTAATTTGAAAATTGCTATACAAAAGATGCCATCTTTCTTTAGATATTTTCTATTCTCTCACAGTACATTCATATTTGATTTTTTAGATGTTTTGTATTGTAAAATAAATATGGATAATAATAATGAATGTTTTGCCTTTTGATTGACTGCACACGTTGTGAGAGCAAATGAGGATATTTGAAATTGATGGTCCCTCTGATGAGCCAAACGTTATTTCTTTGTCAAATGTGCATTGAGTTAAGAAAACCAAGATTTTTTAAATTCTATATGCAGTGATTATATAATGTTATATTTTTAATGTTTCAGTTTACATAAGTAAACTGATATTATAATGACTATCACAATATATACAGTGCTCAGATTTTTAGTGACATAAATAACTGAGGAGCTTATGCTATTTTACGCTGATGTCGCCCGATTAATCAAGTTTTGTATAGTTTCTAAATTCACTTAAAGCATCAAGCCAGTTTTATGGGACTTTTATTTTGGAATAATCAACATCCGGTTCACAGCATGTCTATGGCGGTGTGATGCAGCGAAATAATTCACTGACTTTTAAAGGTTTGTGTTTTGTTTTATGTATGTTTGTCTTACGACACTATACATATTTCATTTTCAGTATACGTTAATTCTAGTTAATCCATTTGTCTTATATGTCTTATATTCATTCTATATTTACTCACCTTCATGTTGTTCCAAACCGGAATGACAGCACTGTCCTTACAATGCAAGTAACGTTAAATGGTGACTGAGACTAATGACAGAATATTTTTTTTTAATAAGAACATGGTTCATTTGTAAAAACATGGTCAATTATCGTTTAACTTTTGAATTCGCACTATTTTCTAAAAAGTGGTCATTTTCTCTTTTAGATGTAACCTAGTTTGTCCGTTTGCATAGTGGTGAACCTCTCTTCATCATGATGTCATCATATCCTTCAAAACCAGCTCTACATTTTGGCCAGGTTGTGATTGGTCCACCTGGTTCAGGTAAAACCACTTATTGCCGGGGCATGCAGGAGTTCCTGAGCCACCTTGGACGGAAGGTGGTTGTTGTAAACTTGGATCCTGCCAATGAAACGTTGCCTTATCCTTGTGCCGTGGACATATCCGAGCTCATCACTCTGGATGATGTGATGGACAGTCTAAAACTTGGCCCCAATGGTGGCCTCATCTACTCAATGGAATATTTAGAGGCAAATTTGGACTGGTTAGAGAACAAGCTGAAGCACCACCATGACTGCTACTTCCTTTTTGACTGCCCAGGTCAGGTGGAACTCTACACACATCATAATTCGGTGAAGAATATATTTGCAAAGCTGTCGAAGTGGAATTTTAGGGTAAGTACATGGTGGGTACTTTTCCTGAACTTCTCTCTGATTTATAAAGATGTATTTCCTGTCTGATTTCTTCTGATATTTACAGCTGACTTCAGTGCATCTGGTGGATTCCCATTACTGTGCTGATCCGGCCAAGTTCATCTCTGTGCTGTGTACGTCCCTGTCCACCATGCTGCAGGTTGAATTGCCACATGTCAATGTGCTCTCAAAAATGGACCTCATTGAGCAATATGGCAGACTTGGTAAGATGAAATAGTCCAGACTGATGCAGAATGTCTGAATAAAGAATCATTTGTGGATTAACTTTTCCTTTAATACCAACTCTCTTTTACAAGCATTCAATCTGGACTTTTACACTGAGGTTCTTGACCTGTCGTATTTGGTGGAGCACCTCGCTTTGGACCCTTTCTTCAAGAAGTTTCACCACCTGAATGTGAAGTTAGCTGAAGTGATCCAGGACTACAGCTTGGTGTCTTTTGTACCTCTTAACGTCCAGGTTAGTGCACACTTTTGTAATTGTAATTTTTCCTGTAACTCAAACAGTAGAGTATGGTGCTAGCAACGCCAAGGTCATGGGTTCAATTCCCAGGGAAAGCTAGAACTGATAAAATGTGTAACTTGAATGCAATGTAAGGGTGTGTTCACACTTGTAGTTTGGTTGTCTTGGTTCTTTTGGTCCGGACCTAAAAAACAAACAAAATAGTACAGGACAATGCTCCTGCCTAAATTGCAAAGACAACCAACCAGTGGCTTGAGAACAAGTCCATCAGGCTCATGTTTTTTCCTGGTCAGAGTCCAGACTTAAATCCTATAGTAAATATTTGGTCTCGTATTAAACTCAAATGAACTGGGAGACATTTTTCAACTGCTCATGAACTGTTTGAAGCCATTAACATTGAGTGGAACAAGACTGACTCTTCTTCCTGTAAAAAGCTGTCTACAAGTTGGGGAACTTGTATCCTTTGTTAATTTATCAACAGTAGCCTATTTGTGCAATTCTTGCTAATTTCCTGACCAGTGATTTGTGATTAAAATGGTTAAGACCATTAAAAGACCACTAAATATGTTGCCATTTTTAGCTTTGCCCATTTTTTTTTTTTTTTTTTTTTTGCCCAGGAGTGTATGTGGTCAAAATAACACAAGACCTCTGTTGCACACAAACAGAGACGGTGGTTCCGATGTCTGTACCAAACTGTAATGGGCAACACGGCGCCTATGCCGAAAAGAACCAGACATAATTGAGCATTTTGTCCTTTTTAGAGTCACATCTTGTGACATCATGTCCTGTTTTTGGTTCGTTTAGAGGTCTTTGGTCCGTGTTACGTTCGTATTTTAATCGAACCGCACCAGAGTTCGTTTGGAAGTGGATGGAGACCCCATGACTTTCGGTCCACTTGTTTGGTGCACTTCAAGGTTCGGATGGCAGCGTTCACACTTATAAAAATGAACCACACTAACAGAGCAAATGCACCAAAGTGTGTTTTGATCAAACCAAACCCTTAGGGTGTGTTTACAGTTGTAGTTCGGTTGTCTTGGTTCTTTTGGTGCGAACCAAAAAGAAAATGATACATTTAGGCCTGGTTTCACATACAGGGTTTAGATTAAGCCAGGATTAGGCTTGAGTTCAATTAGGACATTTAAGTAGCTTTTATATACAAACATTACTGCTGTGCATCTTGAGACAAAACAAGATAATTACAATAACAAATAGCAAAATGATTTAAGATAGCCAGTGCAAGTTGCTTTCAGTTAAAACAGCTCAAAACTGCATTTTAGTCTGAGACTAGACTGAAGCCTTGTCTGTGAAACCGGGGGTTAGTCTTGTTTTGCTTAGCATTCACACTGTCATTTTTTAACACCGACCCCAAAGATAAATATATTTAAAAATATATTTTGTGATGGAACTTACCGAACATCCCAAACAATGCTGTGTGCTGGGTTAAACTTTTTAGGGTCGCATCTTGTGACCTCATGTCCTGTTTTTGGTTTGTTTAGATGTCTTTTCTCTGTGTTGCATTCATATTTCAGTCGAACTGCGCCAGAGTTCGTTTTCAGGGGGCTCGGTCTGCTTGTTTTGGTGTACACCAAGGTTCGGATGTTAGCGTTCACACGTATTCAAATCAACCACACTAACAGATCAATCTCACCATAGTTCATTTTAATCTAACCAAACCTGGAAATTGTGAAAACACCCCTAGTGTGTTTTGTTGGATAAAAGCGCCTGCCAAATACATTAATGTAAATGTATATCTTTTGACCATTGCTTTTCTACAGGACAAGGAAAGCATGATGCAAGTTTTGAGAACTGTGGACAAAGCCAATGGCTACTGCTTTGGAGACCTGGAGGAGAGGAACATGCAGGCCATGATGTCTGCTGCTGTTGGAGCAGACTTCCAGTTCAGCACGTATCCTTATCATACTGTTTAGTTTTCTGTTTTTGCGAAAGTTGTTAACACTTCCATTCATTTATGCAATTGCAATCTTGTAAGATTATCCTTAACAATTTATCCCAGAACTCTTGGTGTACAGGAGAAATATGTGGAGGCCGCTGGGAAAACTGTGGAGGATGAAGTCATAGATTTGTAACCCTTTTTTTTATATTGATTAAAAAAAAGAAAAGAAAAAATAGCAGAGCTGTCTTATTTCACAAATTAAAACACTGTAGACATGTTGAAATTCCACAAAGGAGCAAATAAAATGCAAAAAAAAATAGAATAAATAAATGATTGTTTTGTTCTCCACGTTAAAATACTGATTTGCATCTAGTAACAAGGAAATAATTGTCTTGAGCACTTAAAATAGTTTTAGATGCATGTCTCAAAATGAAGCAATAACTAGACCATTCAGTTTATTAGATGTGAGTTCACAAGGTAAACAATTAAATAAAAATATATTTTGTAATAACTTTTCTAATTCAAAAAAGTTGTTTTTTTTTAAACAATGGATGTGTCGAAGCAAAGTACTGTTGATCCACAGTAAAATGAATCCTTATCTCAATTTAAGTGGCACAGTTAGAAGGGAACTGAGTTCTCAGTTTTGTCGATCTACATCTTGTGTTTGGGTTTAAAAAATATGATCCATAAATAGACTCATGGACTTCCTTTAAAGATCAGTGTGTAAACGCAATGAAAGTCTCACCACTAGAGGTCACAGTCGTAACGGCTACTTGTTCACACAATATGGAACTTGTCAGCTTTTCCTCGTTTATTATTACATTTTAGGAAACTGCAGTCGCCTTATTTTTAATACTCTGACAGTATTAAAAACCGTATAATTCATATGGCTCACATTAAACTAACACGTTATTGTCGTGCTTAAATGTGTGAAATTGGCACCAATTCGTTTGGAAATCAATGAACGCTGGGTATTTTATTATTGGTTACACCCTCGTAAAAAAAATATAAAAGGTTCCGATTTAGTTTAATTATTAGCGCATATTTTCTCACTCGCTCTCATGATACAGGGCGCGTATTTTGCGAACTTGTGGCAGAGCCGGAACACCTTTCATATCATGTGTAGTCTGGACCTTGAAAAGGCCTTCTCAACCGCGGAAGAATACAGGAATGCATTGTACACGAGAGGGAGACATGACAACTATGTTAGATAGTGCTCGGTGTTTGTAGAACTTGTCTTTTGGTCAGGTTTTTCTTACTAATATCAGTAAAATATGATCTTGTAATTTAAGGTTATGTATAAAAGTGCCGCAGCATTCCGCAGGAATAAATCAGCACAACAATCACCTTAACACATAGGCTATACTTGCTCGGTGTTTGTAGAACTTGTCTTTGGGTCAGGTGTTTCAATTCTTGCTAATATCAGTACAATATGATCTAGTAATTTAATCCTATGTATAAAAGGAATACTCTCGCAGGAATAAATCTACACAACAGTCACCTTAACACATAGACTACTTGTGCGAGCCACGGAAGTATTCCGGGAACCAGAAAGAAGTGCTTCGCCTCTTAGCGCACTCGGTTTGGGAACCATGTAAAACGCGGGATGGAATAAAGAAATTACATTGCTGTCTCAAAACCATAGACTGCACAAAACGCTTGTGTCAGTCAGATGACTTGGTGGTGTCATTTATAAGTTAACTATATATCTATATATGCTGTGACATACTGTTATATATAACTGAAAAAGAATGATAGATTATAATATTCTTGTGTGGGGAGTGAACTATGCTATTGCACACTGTGTATGTCATTAGAACCTAATGTGCCAAAGCGTTATCCATGTCAGTTCATGATCCAGATCACATTTTAGTCGAATCCGCAGGGTAAAAACAGGAGACAGACAGGGAATGGAGTTGGCAATGTGAAATCTGTTTCTGCTTAACAGGTTCTGAGTATGTTCAAGCAAGCTTGACACTTCATTTGCTCTAGGCATCAGATAGAAGTTTAGATATTTCAGTCTGACAGGAACTAGTTGGTGTGTGGCTATTGAACTAAAAGAAAAGATGTGCTGTATAGGAAATATTTTATTTTGCACATTTTCTTTCAATTTGGGTCCATGATTTCATGATCTTTAAATTCCGTTGACATAATAAATTGATAGAGACAAAAATTGTTATATATTTAGGCTAAAAACAAAAATTAGTAGGCTTGATTTTTTGTACTAATTGTCTGAAAATCACGTTAAATCCTTGGGAGCTTTCTCAAAATTTTCAAAAAGGAGGCAATACAAAAGTTATATAATATATGTATATTTTATATATATATATATATATATATATATATATATATATATATATATAAATATATATTAGCCTGTTTTTTTCTCAGGCAAATGAATTTATCATGAAGTAACCATAAATATTTGTGTTGTTAAATGTCATGAGTTTATGCCACAGTTATGGTTTCCTATGGCTCTCGAGTGGCACTTCCTTCCCTAGCACACTTCAGAGAGTAATTTTGTGTGTGTGACGGCTGCCCAGCAACCTGCTGGCTGAGGACCAACTTCCTTGTGTCTGCTCTTGCTACCGTACTTTATGGATTCCCATGTGGGGGTGTGTCTGAGAACAACGGATTGAATGAAACTCTGATTGAATGAAGGGCTCTGCTGAGCAGTTTCCTCCCTTTACCAGCAGTGTATACATGTGGCTTATTGGCGCACCAAGGGTCATGAAAGGGTTTGAGTACACATGGTTTTGTTTACACAGAAAATGTGGCATACTTTGTACTCTGCCTCATTAAAACTGTTGACAAACAAGGACAGATGAAAGCTGTACTTGTTTGGCTTTCATTTTTCGCTTGCAAATCTCAGCAAAATCATTATGTCTTTCAGATTTCGTTTGCTCTCAAACATTTTAGGCAGAGCAAACATATTTGAAATGACAGTGTTTAGACGGAAAATCTGCAACCACTATTTAGCACAATTTATTGGATTTAATTACTTGTTGATTTTTTAAATATCTTCTAAATATGTGGATCATTTACAAGTTTACTTGCAGTAAATATCCCAGGTCAAAACAGATGTGTCTGTTTTGTAGTTGACTGGTAGATCTTCATGCTTGCAACACCAAGGTCATGGGTTTGATTCGGAATGCCAAACTGATCTCACGGGAAAACGTGTTACGAGTAGATGATTTTGTATGAATCTGTACAATGTGAATCGTTCCAAAACATACAAATGAGATACGAATTCATACCAATCAGCCACCGAATCGCCAAAGTGTAAAATAGTTAGGAATACACAAGCTAGCAAAATTTATGAATCGAGGTTATTATTGTAAAGTATAACCACAAGACCTTTTCATTACTTTAAATAAAATAAACATTAACTTAAATAAATAAATAATTAATAATAAATAACATGTTTTAGCATGGTTGCCATAGCAACATTTTTCATTTTCATTTAGTTTAATTTAAAGTAGCCTACTAAAATAACTAATACTAAAAACTAAACTATATAGGCATATATACGGGAGAATTTAAACATCACTTTCATGTTCATTAAAGCATTCTGTCACAAGTCTTGCTGTGTGGTGCATTATCATGCTGATACACAGAATCCTTTGATACAATGTTTGAACCATTAGGTGCACATGGTCCTCCAGAATGGTTCAGTAGTCCTTGGCAGTGACGTGCCCATCAAGCACAGTATGCTATGATATTGCAGCTCAAACCTTCACTGATCTTTGGGCATGCAATGGGCCGATTGTTAAGCCTCTTTGAGGCTTCTCCACACCATAACTCCCACGGTTGTGGGAAAGACAGTGAAGATGGACTCAGAGAGAGAGGACAATACATGTTTCACATTGTCCACAGCCCAAGATTTCCTCTGCTGGCACCATTGAAAGCGACATTTGGCATTAGAACGAGTGACCAAAGGTTCAGCTCCCAATGAAGTTTTGTAGAAACACAAGAGTATGTTGGGCAGCTGTGGTTTTATGTCGTTTGGTTAGTACCTGGACATCCCTTTCAGACAGCTTCCTCTTGTGTCGACAGTTACTCTGTTGGATGTGGTTCGTCCAGTGTTGGGCAAAGTTACTTTATTTTTTATTTTTTTATAATGCATTACAATACTGCATTACTCCCTAAAAAAGTAACTAATTGTGTTACTTAGTTACTTTTTACATAATAAAGTAATGGATTACTTTTGCATTATTTCTTCTCACCTTTGGTTGCTTGCTTGTTTTTTAGTAACAAAAACAAAATCTTCAGAAATAAACAAATGAAACAAATATGATGTTTATATAAAAGTAATTTTTGCTTATTCGTATGGTTGAATTGGATCATCGAAGGTATAGCACTCAGCAGCAAAGACATTAATAAAGTAAGATTAAATACATAAAGTGTATGTGTTATTTAACATATTTGCATAATATTCTGAGTTTGCATTTCACTGTTTTTTATCATTTTTATTCTATTTGAGGAATATTGAATCTGTTTTAGTGCCTGTGAGATGAGTATAAAGGCCTCCGATTTAGTCTAGAACTACAATAACATCATGTTTACCCAGTGCACACAATGCCTCTGCATTTCTCTCCACAAGAGAGGTGTCAGTAAATAAATGGCAAAACTTTTGAAAAAGTAACAGATATTTTGTTGTAAATTTAAAAGTAATGTGTTACGTTAAAGTAACCTGAAAGTAATGTGTTACTTTAAAAAGTAATCTGATTACATAACTCACGTTACTTGTAATGCGTTACCCCCAACACTGGGTTCGTCATGCATGGTGGTATGCCGACATAGCTCTCGATACACCACAAAGACTTGCTGTCCTGGTCAGATGAGCCAGCGAGACGCGCACGTGTCCTCTTTTGACCTCTGATATGTCTCCCATTATGTTGTGTGGATTGCAATATTGTATGTACAGCCGTGCCAGTGCTCTGCTAATTCAACCTTCACTCTCTGCTCTTATTGATGGAATGTAAAATCAGTGAAGATAGGCGTAAAACCTTCAAACACTATCGGCCAGTGTTTCAGTTTCATTGTCCAACCCCATGTATCAATTATACTAAAATAACACAGCCTTGAATGCACTGTTAAAATGCTACTTTGATAAAAGCATCTAGGTAAAAGGCATAAAATGATTTTTTTTTGCTAATGTATAGAAAGAAAATGATGGGATTGACATGAAATCATTTTTATTAGCTGTTCTTCTCTCTCCAAAAAAATGTATATTATCATAAATGAACTTTATCTTCACAATTGTTTCAGCTA